CTACTTCCGTAGTGATACTGCCTCGGAAACCCAAGGAGGGGTCGCTATGAGTCGGGGCCGACTCAAAGGCACATAACAACAACACAGGTTACAAAGAAAAGTTTTAAAATTTTTTTAATTAAATGAAAAGTATTATCATGTGGGATCTATATTATAAATGTTTAGACTGGATTTCAATAGTTAAGACACTTAATAATTAGGTAAATGTTACTACTTTTATCTAGTCCATCAAGAGAATTCCTAAGATTTTTTCCTTTCCTTTCTGGAGAAATTGGATAACCACAATCACTGCATGTAGAAACAGCTCAAGAGATCAGTTAGGGCATCACAATTTATCTGTTAATACACAAAAAACAGCACCAGATCCTCGAGCACTCCATTGTCCAAGGAAAGAGAATATGGGGGAAAAAAATTTTATTTGTACATAAAAGAAATGTTCATGATCCATTTCTTTTACTTTCCAGAATTAATCTTAAGAAAATTATAAATGACAAAAAACTGGATGTGCCAGAACATTTACAACACTGTGGACAAAGCAGAAACTGGTATACAGTGGGGAACTCAGCAAATTATAGCTGCAAACAATATTTTAAATAAAACCAGTAGCTAGCACAAGTTAAACAGCAAGTGCTCGGCTGCCAACAGAACGGTCTGTGGTTTGAACCCAGTAGCCTCTCCATAGGAGAAAGGTGCCGCAGTCTACCCCATAAAGATTTATAGCCTTGGAAACCCTATGGGGCAGTTCTACTCGGTCCTATAGGTTATAAGTCGCCATCCACAGTGTATGGGTACTGCACGATCTCAATTATATCAGCCTATCTGAAGTAAATTCCACAGATAAGCAATACTAGCCCTAAATCTGAGTCCAAAGTGATCGTGCAATGAATTACAGCCGACAAGCTATAATTAATCAAGCTGGCAAGTCCATGAATGAGCAAAGATATAATATTCTCTTAAATAAAAGATGCAAGACAGGGAAAAATATTTTCCTATGACTTAAAACGTAAACTGAAAGCGAAAATTATGAGTAAAGAAGTAAGGCAGAAAACAAATGGAGAAAGGGAAAAAAAAATCCCACCTACAACAGCATCTAGGGAAGCTGAGAAAGAGCTTTCACCAGGGCTCAGTCAGGGGTCCGGTCAGCAGACAGTGAAACTGAGGAAGAAGTTCTATCGATATAGAGACTTACTTTGGATTCTCTTATCACTCATAACTACTAATAAACAGCAGAAAACTGATGGCTGCCAAGAAATACTAACTTGAAAAAAAATTATCATTATTAAAGTACCCCTACATGTGCACATGTGTGTAGTGAACTGTCTCGGGTTTTAAATGGCACACCCAAGTGTTTGTAAATCCTGGCTGGCAGATTAAATGTCTATAAACCAAGTACTGCCATCAATTGTACACTCAACAAATTTTAGTTAAATATTTAATAAAAACCTGAACTACCAAAACCAAAATTATCTTGTTGGTTTTATCTCCCTAGCAAGACTAGAAGTTTCATGCTGGGGGCCATTAAATAAATTGGGTTAAGACACCTTTTATGAACTCCACAACTCCAGACATTTCACTTTAAGTTTCTGGTGATGTATTCTCCCAGCCAGTAAATGTTGGTACTTCATGAAGAAGTGCTAGTTCCCCGAGTTTTATTCTTAACCAGATAAATAAAAGATGATGAACACAATCATAACTATTATAAAAGATGTTGATACATGTATTTCGCAAGTTAGAGTTGGAATCTATCAGCACAAATTCATCCTTTCAAAAAAATTTTTCAAGTATGTTCTGTTACTGGTGGATTTACCTTTACGTGTCCATTAGAACACGAGTATGATCTAACACGAGTTTGGGATTGTGGGTGGAAGCTGGTGGGATGAAGAGTATTGGGGTATTACCAAGGCTCGGGCTCTGTGAATGGCTGGTAATTTTCCAATTTTCTCAATTTTCCTGTGACTATATGCCTTAGCATAGTGGCTAAGACACTTGCCTGCTCACCAGAAGGCTGGCGGTTCAAACCCACCAGCCACTCCTCAGAAGGAAGGTTGGGCAATCCTACTTCCGTAGTGATACTGCCTCGGAAACCCAAGGAGGGGTCGCTATGAGTCAGGGCTGACTCGACGGCACATAACAACAACAATATGCCTTAACAAAATAAATCATCAAAATCTAGCGCAGGAGCCTTAGAAGTAACCCAGCACTTGGCAAGTACGAATAGAACATGCTAAAACAGTGGGGACTTTTTCATTTTGATTCCAGTAGAATCCTCGCACATGGTAGGCGTTTTAAAGAACTGAGTGAACGGACGCGGTTATCTAAAACTTTTTTACGATTTGCATTTATTTTAGGTGACGAATGCAGTATTTATTAACACAAATTTTTCACATAACTGCAGCCACTATGAAATATTCGTATCACGGGATCCATGAACCACATGAACGGAACGCCCTGTATGCTTGGGCCAACCTGGACGTAGAAGCTTCCGTGGCGCAGTGATTAAAGCGTTTGACTGCTAACTAAAAGTTGGCGGTTCGAACTCACCAAACACGCCCCGTGACAAAGATTAGGCAGTCGGCTTCGGTAAAGATATACAGCCTTGGAAACTCTGGGGCAGTTCTACACTGTCTTATAGCGTCCCTATGAGTCATAATCAACTCGATGTTTGTGGGTGGTCTGCCCCGACGTCCGGACTGCTGAAACCACACAGAAACTGTATAGGACTACGAGGCTCACCCCGCACCGGTCTGGTGGGCCGGCCCGCGTTTTCCCGGGACCAAGCAAAAACTCCAAACTCACTGCTATCCAGTAGGATCCGACTCACAGCGACCCCTCCTTGGGGGCGCAAACCGCCAGCTGCGCATTCGGGCCCCAGCCGAGACGAAGGGCGCCGCAGACCATTAAAAACAGCGGTTTTTCCCAAGTGTGGTCTGAGCCTGGCAGATGGCTCCGGCGGCCGGCACTTACCGACGTGGAGCTCGCTCCGCAGCCTGGCAGCCCGGGGAGGAGTATGTGGGGAGCCAGGGAGGGAAGGAGACCCGAGTGTGGGCTATGGAGATGTGGGAATTCGTCTGGGCCTAGCACCGACCCGCATTTCCCTCGCGCAACAGCGGTCAAGGGGCTGCACGACCGTAAAAGCAGGAACCGCCACAGCGCCCGCCCTAATTCTGTTTACCTCTTCCCGCCCGATTCCCCGCGTGATCAAGCCCCTCCTCCAACCCGAAAATGACTCTAACGGGCCTCGAAAACGCCCCTTCCCCGCCCCCTCCCTGTGCGCGTGAACAAGACAGCCTTAAGATCTCGCGAGAGGTCACCACCCCCCCCCCCCCCCCACCCCCGCTAGTAAATGTGTGAACGAGAAAGGAGGAGGGCGCTCAGTGGAAAGTACTGCGGACGCCATTATCCACTGTTTCTCTGCTGCACGGACCTCAACGTCTTGCCAGCGTTCCGCTTGTTCGCGGTCTATAGGTAATTGGAGTTATTGGGGTTTGGGTATTACGTATTCAGTCAGGGGTTTGGCCTTCCTAAAAGGCTGCGTTTACTTTTTCTAAGCCCGGTTTTCCTCGGGTCTTTAGCGGCCTCAGTCTGAAGGGAGGCGCTGCCGGAGGGTGGGGATTTTGCCCTCTCCGGTGCTTTGATTGACGAGATTCTGGGCCAATCTCTTCGTCCTCGCGCCACCACTGAAGCCTGGGCAGCCAATCAGGCGCGGCGCGGAGTAGGCGAGCAGAGCGGGAGAAGGAGGGGGAGGGCGGTGGGGCCCAGCTCTCGGTCTCTGTCTAGCTGTGACCGGTTGAGGCAGTGCGGTGGTGAAGGGACGTCGGCCTCGTGCGGTGAGGAGCGGAGGCGGGCGGGCTGCTTGTGAAGCAAGGGTGGGAAAGGAAATTTTCTGGTAGCAGTAGGCCGTTTTAGGGTATGTTTGGTGGTTGGCCGCTTCCCAGAGGAGACGTTGCCTGGTTTCCCCTCCCCCATGTCCGCCATTTCCCTGAGCGTATATCCGCAGTCCGCATTGTGGTGCCAAAGACTTGAGGGAATTGCGAGACATATTCTTGTAGGATGAGACGTAGTCCTATGGTACTGGGAAGTAGGCCCCTTGTTTGGGAGGAAGGGACCAGCGGTTGAGAGCCCTAGATTGGTGGCGAACTGCTTCATGCCGCGGCGTCACTCTTTGTGTGGGCCCTGCACTGGTGCTCTCCCGGCCTGGGGCTGAGGCGGGAGCCAGGATGGTCGGAAGGCCCGGGCTCCCCTGGTTGCTTTGTCTCTCCTGCGATGGGGGGAGGGGTGCGGGGATGAGGTCTCGGGACCGCGTGGTGGGTGGGGGAGGGGGGGTCGGTGCTCCGCTCCGCCTCGTAGCACGTAGGCGCCATTACGCGGGCCGCCATTTCCCGTCGGATCCGGGTGAGCAGAGGTGCGGCGCTTCTGCCATTCGCCTCTCGCTTTTCCTATTTCTGGGACTCGACTGTTGCAGATCCTGGTGTCCTGGGAGAGCCGGGCATGTTTGCGCACGACTGGCTGGGTGTATGCTTAATCTATTTTCGGGGTCTGAGGGAGAGTAGAAAAAAGGACCTAGCGGATTACCAGCAACGTTATTGAATCTCTCTCATCCAACTTTGCCGCTACCCCTCAGCATTTAAATGAGCGATGAGCCAAGAAAATACTGTTTCGGTCGTTGGGAGAGTGGATTTATTGACCAATCTTAGGGGATAATGGGCGATATATAATGTCTTGGTTTTTGTATTTTTTTACTTTATGCTGTTGGATACGTATATATACCTTGGATACATCAGTTAGACGAATATCAAAAAAGTAAAAGATTCTACTTGCCAGATTGGTAATGGGACTCAAACTACTGGCAGAAAAAGGCAAGTGGCCTCTCGTAGTACCAGTTAGCAATCTAGCACGTAGAATCATTTTTTAGTAATAGTACAACTGTTCGGATACCACCCTGTCTAACCTGGTTTAAACTACCCCGGTAGTGTGGCTTGTTAGTGCTAAAGGATTCAGTAGATTATCTGTTCACTGAATATGTCTTCCATTTGCCATTATATTTGTAAACTTTTAAAGATTTCAGAAAATAGCTTTCGGTTAAAAAACCCAAAACTATTAGGAGTTCCAGCATAAAAATCTTGACCCTACTGAAAAAAATACAGTGTGTTTTGTATATTGTAATGCAACAACTAGTTGCCATGGTGGAAATCAATGTAGTGGCAAAAAACTAGTGGGTTTTTTTGTTTGTTTTTTTTTAATGTGTTTGGATTTTAAAACTTTAATAGAATGAGTCACACTTTAGAAATAGTTTGTTGGGTTCACATCGGTATTGTGATTAGAAATTAGTATTCAGTTATAAGGATGAACAAAATAAGCATAACTGACTTACGTTGATTTTTATAGGCTACTGCAGCACTAGGGTGTCAGTTGTTGGTCCCGCCCAGTTCTTCTCTTCTGCTCTGCAAGGATATATAAAAACTGGTACGTTGTAGAAGCAGAGTCATGTCTTTGCTTAATATTCATTAAAATGTACAGCTTAGTTTCCAATGAGCCAAATACACTAGCTGCTTTTTTTTGCTTTTTTTTTTTTTTTTAAAACAGATTGGTGTGTCTGTTTAAGACAAGAAAATGGAAACAGAACAGCCAGAGGAAACCTTCCCCAACACTGAAACCAATGGTGAATTTGGTGAGAAAACTTTAATTCTAACAATTTCACATTTTCCATTCTATTTCATTGTTCTTGTGATTATGTGGTTTAGTTACAACATATTTTGAAGTATTGTATCACGGTGAATTATTTAGTGGAGATCTGACAAGAACAGGTTTTAAATTTATAAGTGTCCCTTTTGGCCCTGGGATTAGGGATGAATCTCTTGAAATAGATTGGAGTTGGTTTCATTAATTTAAAATTAGGTTAAAATTAACATTCAGTATTTTTCTTGAAAATATTGGTCCTTTCATTGAAATTTTAACTCTTAATTTGTAGGTAAACGCCCTGCAGAAGATATGGAAGAAGAGCAAGCATTTAAAAGATCTAGGAACACTGATGAGATGGTTGAGTTGCGCATTTTGCTTCAGAGCAAGGTATGTGTTTTATTCTTGGTTGTTTTGAAATGTTTTATATATTCAAGCAGAAATTAAGGAAGTCTTCAAAGCCTTACAGGTTAAAGGCTATAAAAGATGTGTTTTGTGTGATTTTTTAAACCTCTTTGTAGCAATTAAAATTTTAAAAAAAGTTTTGGTAGAGTGAACCACTCCAGAAGGGGGGATAGCTATAGTTCTTACGGCATCAATGAATTAGCTCTTGATTACATTTGTGGGTTTATATTATTTTTAAAACATCTTGGTTAGCAATTTACTTGCTTGATTGTTGCCATGTGCAACATGGAATAGTATAAAGCTAATCAGTGCATAAGTTACATACCTAGAATGTATTTTTGGCATTTTGGATATTTCAGAGCTTTGTTTTAATAATTTAAGTGCTGCTTCTCTAGAGTCTTGATTTTATCCTGATGTTTTTGATATCCCCAAGTAGATTTCCAGCCCTGTAACAGAGCTTAGAGTTGTGGATTATGGAAAGGGGGAGCTCAAAAGGAGACAGTTATAGTGAATTTACAGAAAGGCAAAGTAATTATTCTCTTGTCATTTTACCTTCTGTAGAATGCTGGGGCAGTGATTGGAAAAGGAGGCAAGAATATTAAGGCTCTGCGTACAGACGTAAGTATTAAAGAGTTTAAACTATTACACAAGCTGCTTCTGTTGCGTGTTTCTAAAAGTTTAAAGATTTGATTCATAGGAATCACTTGATAGTCTAGATACAAGCCATTTGTAATGATTGGATACATAGCTGATTTCCAGATTTGCCATTTTTTATGTTTAACAAGACCCAAATTGAGTTGTCATGGAGGTTTATAGTAAACCTCTTTGTTTACTAATAGGATTCCACCAAATTACTCACTTCAAGCAAGATAAAACATCTTAATTAGAAATATTGACAAAGTGTAAAAGCCCTTAATTGCATCCCATTTCATGTGTGGATCAAATACTATATTACTGAAAACCATTGCAGGTGGCTGATTAAACCCAGGAGTTCTTTTGTTGTTTTTTCTTTTTTTTTTTTTTTTTAAGTCCATCTGTTCTTTCTTTAACAGCTTGCACATGGAGCACAAAGAAATTAACTTTGAGGTTGCATGATTTAAACATGGGTAAAGAATAAAGTTAGGGGCATACTCTTAAAATTTCGAAATAGCTTGTCTCAGTGCCTTTGGTTTGAGTCTTCATATTTTATAGTGGGTTGACTCTTGTGATTAGACACATCTGCATCCCCAGAAGTTAGCATATTTATAGGACTTGGATACATCAAAATTACATTTTAAAAAAAAAACTTTCTCAGTGTACACATTCTTAATGTTTTACTTCTTGCTAAATTTGAGGCAAATAATAACTTTGTGTTGAATACTTATTTGACAGTATTTCATTTCTCTCTTGGTCACAGATCTTTGTATGTTCCTCTTGATTGCTGTAAACTGAACTTGAAAATAAGTTTAAATTTTACAAACCTGCCCTAGGATCTAGGAGTGTGTTTTAACCCTCTAGTCTTAATGGTTAGGGATTTTTGGTGGTGTGGGAATTTTTGTTTTGTCTTTTATAAACCTCTCTCCTCTTAATCCAGATGTTCTGTATAATAATCTGGGTTATTAATATCCCCGTTTCCTCAAGAATTTCAGTAAACTTTGAGTCATGACAGGTTTTGTGTCTACCCCCATGAGCCAGCCTGCTACTGAAACATCATTTGTTTTTGTTTTTGTTTTTAAAAAAAAAAAAAAAAAACTAGAACAGAACCATCATTTAAGGTCCTTAAATGTTAAGCCACGGTCAGATATAGTGAAGTCCATTATTGTGTTAGTCTTCAGAACAACTTAAGCTTGTTTCATTAATTGAGAGTATGAGTATAGTTTGTATTAAATTAAAATTTATTGCTTTTCCCCCTTTTCCCTCTCCTTGTTTTTTTGGCCATATATCTCCGTTGCCCATGTACTGGATCGACTTACCCCTGCGTTGCCCACCATGACGTTGGCCCATCCGCCCCTGAACGCCCATGTGAAAACCCTGGTTGGCTATGCCCAAAAATGTGCTCGTTGCCAAACGGGTACCATACTTGACAACTTCTGATTGAATGCCCATGCCCAATGCCAACATCCACGAACGCCAATGACCAATGCAGTACAATGCCAGTGTTTCAGTCCCAGACAGCAGTGGCCCCGAGCGGTATGTCCCAACAGTTTATGCCTCACTGCCTGATTAGAAAGAGAGAAATGTATTTTATTACCTGCCTTTTATATAATTAAATAGTATCCCCTTTAGACGGTGTATTGTTTTTCAAGTTTCTGTCTTATTTTCCCCATTAAGTCTTTTTGTCACTGAACTTTTACCGTGAGTTGCCCACCCAAACGATCCACTAATTTTATTTCGATGGAAGGAGCACAGCTTCAAGTGTTGCATATTTGCTGCATTGTAAATCAAATTGTTACCAAAATAGTCTCTCGCTCTGTCTTTGTGGCCCACCTTGCTTCCCAACATTGCCTGTTCATAATTTTTTCTGATGAAATGCTAACTCTGGTTCACTTTCCTACACTTCTCATTTGTGTTGTCTTTGTTTTGTCTTGCATTTGTATTTGTTTTCTTGCAGAGCCCATTAGTGATCTAATTTCTAACTGGTGTCCATAACCTTATTCCAAATACAATGTTCACCACTTGCATATTCCCTCCCACTTTGCCTAAGAGAAGGTGTGCCAGTTATACCAATGTAATAGCGAGGGTATTCTTAATTAGTGGTGGCGGGGAACATAAATACCAACTCTGCTTCGGTTCTGGTCAATTTATTGCCCACTTAATCTGAGCCCTTCCAAAAGCCCATTCTCTCTGTCTCTGCAACCCGTCTCCTAATATTGTTACCATGTTTGTATTGGGCATAAAACAATGCATGTGAAAATCTATAAATAGGATACTGTAAATGGGGAGTATTAAATGTATGTTACTTCTCTAAACATTTTTATGATTACTGGTGACAAACAAAACTCATTTTTTCTTTTTCCACCTTTTTTGTACTATCTGGTATTTGTGATATTTGACAGCATATTGAGTATCAGTGCTGACATTGAAACAATTGGAGAAATTCTGAAGAAAATCATCCCTACCTTAGAAGAGGTAGGCTCATATTTTTTGTTTATGTATTTGGGAATGTTTAAACAATTTTTTACTGAGTTATAATGGGGGAGGTGAAGAGATGGTAGATAGAACGAGTAATAGTAGCAATATCTTAAAACCTTAGTAACATGCAGCAGTACTATATGAAAGGTATTTGTAACAAGTTGACCACATCTAGAGTAAACAAACTACATGTGGTTGTGTGCTTTCATGGATTTAGTATATATTTTAGTAGGCTTTATCTTAAAGGAGTTTTTAGCATACAATTAATTACGGGAATATGTTGGAAAGAATTATTTTACTCTAATGAGAGACTTTTTACAATCTTAAGTTAATCCTTTATTTACTAGATATACAAGGAAAAGTATGTTCATTCTTATTGTAGATAAACAGTTTCTTAATTAATATAGATTTAAAATGTAGTAGCTTTACCAATATATGCGACAATAGCCTGATCACACTAGACACTTAACCTATTACTCTTATTTTTCTACTTTCAGGGCCTGCAGTTGCCATCACCCACTGCAACCAGCCAGCTCCCGCTCGAATCTGATGCTGTGGAATGCTTAAATGTATGTCATAGTGCCATTGAACCCCACTGAAGTATGGAGCCTGGCCCATAGGATCAATTTTATTTTTAACATAGTGTACTTTTCCCATCTCTAGAAAAAGCTTAACAACAAGATAAATGAATGGTCTTACAACTCACTGTTGACCCTGCTCCATGCTGCAGTGGGAATTAACTACATTTGCAAAGTGCTTTGCAGTCATTTTTATTATGGTGTTATTTGAATGTTAATAATAATTTTGTGGTAACAGCGACATGCTAAATGGCTGCAGTGTGGGTATGGTGTTGCAGGACCTGAAAATAAAATAGTTTTTTAAGGTGGTGCAGAATGTCCTTTTTGGGCCTGGCTATTGAGGATAATAAGCACATAACTGGTAAAGTTATTGAAATATAAATTCAGGTTGCTCACTGCAACAGTATATTGTTATGCTTATAGCAGATAAGTGTATTGGGGATTTCTTAATTTTGAACTAAAGTTGTGCAAATCTCCCTCTGCAGTACCAACACTATAAAGGAAGCGACTTTGACTGCGAGTTGAGACTGTTGATTCATCAGAGTCTGGCAGGAGGAATTATTGGGGTCAAAGGTGCTAAAATCAAAGAACTTCGAGAGGTAAAGGCACCTTTTTGTTTTTATCCTCCTGCCTTTTTTTTTAAAAAAAAAAAAACTAAGAAAATAATTTTCCCATCTAGCTTCTTTGCCTCTTTGATTCCCTCACTAAGGTTCCCCATTAGGTGTATCATTGCCTACCTTGATACTTACGTTATAGTAAAAAGGCCTGACAATCCTGGTTGTTTTGGCAAAAATTTTTACGTTTTTCAAAACCAGGCTGTGCTCTGTAAGTTTTAACACAAGTTTTATGATGGAGGAGGGTATTACTGAAATCAAATTAAATTTACCTGAACCTGGGAGGTGTTTTAGTGCATTTTCCTTCTTTCAAATCTAGTTTTAATTTTTCTCTTTCTGACCTTATTGCAGAACACTCAGACAACGATCAAGCTTTTCCAGGAATGCTGTCCTCATTCCACTGACAGAGTCGTTCTCATTGGTGGGAAGCCTGATAGGGTTGTGGAGTGTATAAAGATTATCCTTGATCTTATATCTGAGGTATTTTCATACACTTAATAGATTTGATTTTATGAAACAAAACATGATCTCATTCAGAAGTCATTTCAAATGTAGCTTTTACTTTATGTACCAGTAGTGTTTTTAATTCCCAAGTCTGTTTTCTATCACCCAGTCTTAGCCATCGTTTTAATTTAGAATTACTCTAGGAAAGGGTGGAGGGTGTGTGGTCATTTGATGATTGATACTTTTATAGCTTCTACTTTGTGGAATGAAATTTTGGGGTCAGTTAAGCAAACAAAAGTAAAACTTCCGTGCTGCTTTGTAGTGCTGCTTTATCTTCATACTACGTTGCTCATCTTCTCAACTTTGGAATGATTTGTCTCTTCATAGAGTGGACTATGGTGTGTTCATAGTTATTTTCTTAGTGTAGAGTGGGAAAAGTGTTGATACTGTCTCATAAAGATCTAAGGATATTAAGCAACTTGTCCCCCATAGACAGATCACTTTGTTGATCCTGTCTTGCTAAAGAACTGGGGGGGGGTGGTTGGTATTTAAATTTTTTCCTTCCTTTCTATTATCTTTGCCTATATTCTGTTCCTTTTGATAGACTTCATAGGAAAAATAAAGGACTTGTAATGTTTTGTTTGTTGAAAGAAGGATTAGTATGAAGTAACTTTTTTTTTCCTTTGTTTTAGTCACCCATCAAAGGACGTGCGCAGCCTTATGATCCCAATTTTTACGATGAAACCTATGATTATGGTGGTTTTACAATGATGTTTGATGACCGACGTGGACGTCCCGTGGGCTTTCCCATGCGGGGAAGAGGTGGTTTTGACAGAATGCCTCCTGGTCGGGGTGGGCGTCCCATGCCTCCCTCTAGAAGAGATTATGATGATATGAGCCCTCGTCGAGGTCCTCCTCCTCCTCCTCCTGGACGAGGTGGCCGGGGTGGTAGCAGAGCTCGGAATCTTCCTCTTCCTCCCCCACCACCACCTAGAGGCGGGTAAGTTTTTTTGTTTTGTCCTCTTTTCATCTGCATGTCATATAACTTAAGCCATGTTTAGGGATAGATTTTTATTTAATGTGTGTGGAATGTAAATGTAAACAAGCTGAGATTACAGCAGCTATTATGTTTACAGAGATTTGATGGCTTATGACAGAAGAGGGAGACCTGGAGACCGTTACGATGGCATGGTGAGAACTTTTACTTACCAATGTGTGTTGAGGTATCTTAAAGTTAGGAAGTTAAAAATCTGGTTGAACATCAGATAGTAACTTAATAAATCAGTTTGTTTCTATTGTTGGCTGAGTTTCGGGATTTTATTGACCCCTCTTTCCTTCCCCAAGATAAGTGGTTGCTTCCTTGTTCCGCCCACCCAAAGTGGTATAAAACATAAATAGAATTTGGGCATATGAAAATCATAACGTGAGTGTAATGTATTGCTGATTCATCTTAATAGTGTTATATATCTTTTTTTTAACAGGTTGGTTTCAGTGCTGATGAAACTTGGGATTCTGCAATAGATACGTGGAGCCCATCAGAGTGGCAGATGGCTTACGAACCACAGGTTGAGTATCGTGTGCTTTAGCATGCATATAAGTTACATAAGATGCTTACCTGCGCATCAGTGTTTACCTGCGCATCAGCATCAGTGTGTGTTTCCTCGTGTAATGTTTTTGTTTCTTTGAATGCTGTGTACCTGAATCCTTACTCTTGCTGAGAGTTGTCTTCTGAGTTATACTTAGTAGATGCACACTTGGGGGGCTTTGGGAGAATTTTGATACCTAAACTGAGGGATTTTCATGAGTATTAAGATAGTTAATGAGAAACTCTGAGGGCCAATTAATTTTCTATTTCTCCTTCTATTTTTAGGGTGGTTCTGGATATGGTAAGTTTCCTCCTTTGTAAAATTACATATTATTTCATGTTTTGTAAATGAACTTGATGCTCATTATTTAAATCAGATTATTCCTATGCAGGGGGTCGTGGCTCATATGGTGATCTTGGTGGCCCTATAATTACTACTCAAGTAACTATTCCCAAAGATGTAAGTATCTTTATTTTTTTCTTCTTTTCCCCTCTTTTATTGCCCCTTTCTTTAAATTACCTGCTTTTTCATTAATAGTATTAAAGGAAGGAAAATACTCCTTGGGATTGGGATTGTGTTTAGGAACCTTTAGTGAGGTGTCATTTTGTAGTTTGACTGTGAACAGTGTCAGTGCCAGTGCTAGTGAAATAAGCAGTTAAATCAACCCTTAATTTACTTACTAAAGGAAATTTTTTAATACAGGGAATATTTTTTTATTCTAACTTCAGTGGTATCAGATAATACAGCAGTGGGAGTAAATAACTACAGAATTAATAAATAGTAGTGATGGTTGTTGAAAATACAGAAAAGATTTTCTTAAAATATATAATAAACTTTTTTTTTTCCTTCTACTTTTCCCCCAGTTGGCTGGATCTATTATTGGTAAAGGTGGTCAGCGGATTAAACAAATCCGCCATGAGTCAGGAGCTTCGATCAAAATTGATGAACCTTTAGAAGGGTCTGAAGATAGGATCATTACCATTACAGGAACACAGGACCAGATACAGAATGCACAGTATTTGCTGCAGAACAGGTCAGTTTAAGTTCAACTTTCTGATGGCTATGACTTTTAAAAAGCTTTCCTTCTGAATTGATTTTTCTTTTAGAAGCCATGGTGTCTCAACCTTTTGGGGACCTAACTTCTAAACATTCTAATAGCTTTGCCTTAATTTTTTCCTGCTTTCTTACTAAAAACGAAGACATTCAATACTAATCTTGCTGGAAGAAGCCCTAACCAAGCAAACTTCTCCATTTCTCTGGTGAAAACTGCTGCCAAAACCACACTTGTTTTAAAATATATAAACCCTGTAGTAAATAATAGAAGATTCATTGGATGTTGGTCTAGTTCTGTGTGGAAGACTAGTGATTTTGTTGTTTGTAGATAACTAAATCGACAACAAATCACAGTCTGCCATATGGCACAGGCCATGCCTCTACAGGACAAATGATTGTTGCTGTTAAATGCAGCATTTCACACCTTAACTGCCATTTCTTTGTCTTTTCTATCAAATATTAACAGCTTTTGATTTCATTTTCTTGATTCTGTTCTACTAATGTCTAATTTACTATTTTCTTGAATTTTACACTATTTTAATTTGTAAATGCTAGTGTTTTTTTTGATTCTTATTTCTAAATGTAATGGACAAGTTGATCATTTTGATTTAGCATTGAAATTGTCTTAATGTTGACTAAGATACTACGGACAAAAATTCTAATTCGTACTTTTTTTTTCTTTTCTTTTATAGTGTGAAGCAGTATGCAGATGTTGAAGGATTCTAATGCAAGATATTTTTTCTTTTTTATAGTGTGAAGCAGTATTCTGGAAAGTTTTTCTAAGACTAGTGAAGAACTGAAGGAGTCCTGCACCTTTTTTTTTTTTTTATCTGCTTCTGTTTAAAAAGCCAACATTCCTCTGCTTCATAGGTGTTCTGCATTTGAGGTGTAGTGAAATCTTTGCTGTTCACCAGATGTAATGTTTTAGTTCCTTAAAACAGGGTGGGGGGGGGAAGGGCGTGCAAAAACTAACATTGGAATTTTGAAACAGCAGCAGAGTGAGTGAATTTTATTTTTTGTTGATTGTTGGTTAAAAAATATCCCCCCGTGTAATTATTGTGAACACTTTGCTTTTGTGGTCACTGTAACATTTGGAGGGGTGGGACAGGGAAAAATAACAATAGTCCACATGTGTCCCTGGCGTTCTATTCAGAGCAGTGTGCACAATGTAATGAATGCTCTTTTGTAAGAAACGTTTTATGATTTTTAAAATAAATTTAGTGAACCTATTTTTGGTGGTCTTTTTTTTTTTTTTTTTTTAATTTTTCTTAAGATGGTCATTTTTCAAATGGCTAAATTCCCCGACCCACCTCAAACTAAACACTAAATTTAATTTTCAGCTCCTCTGTGGGATATAAGTGCATCTCTTCTTAAAAATAGACAAAAATATCTTGGAAAATTCACTACTGGTGACTTGGTGGTTTGAAAGTCCATTGTTTGGGGAAAATCCCATCATACATATTCATGCTTAAAATAAGCTTGGGTTTTGTTTTTGATTTTTGCAAATGCTTGCCCCTACTTCGCAACAATTTTCTATGTTAGTAATGATGAAGAACCCAGATTGATGGCAGTACTACAAACTGAGTAGTACTGTAAGTGTGTAACAGAAGTCTGATTGGCAACAGGTTTCATTAATCTGAGTACTGGGTTATGGAAGTGACTGGTGTTGAATAAATTCTGAATTTTTATTTTAGATAATTTCTCATCTATAGACTAAACACTGTCAATCTGCTAGTGTCTATTAGTTAAACTTTGTAAAATATATATATATTCTTGTTTTTCCATTGTATGCAAATTGAAAGATAAAGATGTACCATTTCTCTGTTGTATGTTGGATTATGTAGGAAATGTTTGTGAACAATTCAAAAAAAAAAAAAGATGAAAAAAGTTCCTGTGGATGTTCTGTGTAGTATCTTGGCGTTTGTACTGATAGTTAAAAATTCACTTCCAAATAAAATTCCCATGATGCTAGTTGATGGTGTGTGCCCAATTTCAACTATGGTATATTAACACCTATAAAATTGATTGAAATGCTCCTCTTATAAGGAAATAGCAATCTCAAATTTTCTTGTATTGAGTTCTTTGTAGCATTTATAAAAGCTAAGCTGTGGGGATTGATAATTCCAGTAGTTGGGCTCTTAGTTTGTTCAAAGTAATCGGGATAAAGACAGAAGTGAGTTGTCATCCCATTCTATTAGTCTATTAGAAACTTTGTAGTTCATAAATTTCTAGCTTTAAGATAGCTGCTAGTTTGATGTTTGAGAATATTGAAAGAATGTAAAATAACTGCAAAACGTGATTGCTGGTTTATAGTCAATAAACTATTAACCTTTTAAGTGTCCGGAGTATATGCATGACAATGGAATTGCAATAATACAGAAAAGGATTCATAAATGGAGTTCTGCTCTTCTAAGCTTAGGAAAGTACGTTTATATAATGTAAGAATGAAGTGGGCAGTGTTTCTGTAGTACTGCATGTTTTAAAAAAAGCCTTTTAAGGCAGTTTTGGATTTCAGTGACACTACCTAACTTAATAGTTTGGGAAAGGGAGTAGCATTTTTTACTAAAAGAATTTGTGAAATAGATGTGCTACCCACGGCATCCTTAAAATTAGTCCAAGGGTGTCTCAAAGGCAGCTCACAATAACCTACCTGGAGGTGCCTTCTGTCTTGGATGGCAATCCACTCCCAAGTATAAAGCAGTCCTACCCAGCACATAGGGTCGTCCCAAGTCTCAATAGCAACATTGGTAGTTTACCCAAAGATGAAATGAGGCTGAATTCTATGTAGGTGTTAACATGACTCCCCATTGGGCATCTTAGGTATGGCAGAATTGTTAAGAACCTACTGAAGATTAAATATCTGACATTGAAGAATTGGGTATAAAACAGGGAGAGGCACTTTGCATTGCCACTACTACTGATGGTCAACAGGTGTTTAAACATGGACTGGGAATTAGTTTGGATTGAGAAAATTCTCAGAGGGCATGAGAAATAAAAACAGTTCATTAAACATCCAGAATTTAAAAATAAGGAACATTGCAAAAATGTTTTTAGTTAGTATCTATCTGAAAGTCTTAACGACCAAAATACCAACAGACGTCTTTGAAAGGAGGTTGCAGTAAAGTTTTTCAGGAATAAAGGCATTAAAAGTTTTTCCCTGCTTGTAAGGAATTTGAATTTATTTTCTGTTGAGATTATAATGTAACACATTAGGGTTTATTGAAGGATCTTATAGTTACTTGTAAATAATTGGTTATTGATAGCACTGAAATGGAGAAACGATCAGAAAAGCAGTTGTTAGCAATTTTCCCATTCATTGGTTTTATAATGTCTTGTCTTACTACTGCTCAAAATGAAATTTACTGCTACCCAAACAATAAAATTACAAGTTGTGATTTTTTTTTTTTTAACTTTGCTGCTAAGAGGCTTGTATTTTAAATTTTTTTCTTACAATCTAGGCCAATGGGAAGTTTTCTATCCATTGGTTAGTTCAATTTAAAAATGCTGAATGCCGTAAAAAAAGTTTTTATTGAAAATGTTTTCGGTCTTCATGGCAGTTTAACCTTCATGGTAATTACTCCCATTTATTACCAAGGTTTTGCCCATTGGTGGCAAGTTGAAAGTGAAACACACCGTTTCTTGGTGGCACTGGAATTTTTTAACGTAGTATTAAAACTTTTCCTAAAACCACCAAAGATGCTGGTTAAAAACATACATGGGCCACATCTCACCTCTATTGAATGCAATGGGTAGACAAACCTGTAATCTACATATTTAAGAAGTTCCACAGATTGGAGGAGCATTGTATACAGCAAAATACAAGAACCCCAGAAATGTTTACATACATTTCACTTATCAAGTAATGGTCCCACATTTCGCCATACATACTGCTAGGCCTAGGGATACAGTGGTGAGTAAAATCAGACTGGAGAGAATCCAGTAATTACAAGTGTATAAAACTGTTTAGGAACCACATAATACTGTGAGATGTGTTTATAGAAGACAACCCCTTCATCTCCCCCAAAAGTATATGTGTACACGTATGCTTAATTCACAAGTAGATTGTTTAAAACAACTGTCCCATCTAGACGGAGCTCTGGTGGCGGCGTGCCTAAGGCATTTGACTGCTAACCAGAAGGCTCCCAGTTCAAACCCACCAGCCACTCCTCAGAAGGATGATTGGGCAATCTACTTCCATAGTGATACCACCTTGGAAACCCAGGAAGGGATCGCTATGAATAAGATCAAACTCGATAACTGAGTTTGTTTTATTGTGCTATCTAGAAGGAGCTCTGGTGTAGTGGGTAAGGCATCTAGCTGTTTACCACATGTTTGGCAGTTCAAACCCAACAAGCTGCTCCACTGAAGGAACATGAAGCAAGCTACTTAAGAATTATAGTTTTGGAAAACCAATGAGGGTCACTGTGACTCAGATTGACTGAACAGTGTGTTTAGCCCTTCCCAGAGAGACTAGAAATCCCAGTATCTTGGCCCAGAAACTTAGAAACCAAAAGTTTGCCATCTCAGCAGATGAATAAAAATAGACATTGTTGAAGTGTGTGGAGATAACATGGACAGCACCTCCCCAAGCCAGTCCTCAAGCTCTCCTAGTGGGGGAAGAAATCTGCCTTGAAGAAAGAAGAGGTGAGAATACCTAGAGAAAAAACCCAGGCAGTTAGACACTTGTTTAAAATAGGGAACCAATCTGCTGAATCCAGGTGGTTGTAAATGCAAATAAACTTTGGGAAATGTACGTTGGGAATGTCTTGTAGGAAAGTTCCTCTATTTGCTGACTGAACAACGCTAGCCACAGAGTTGGTGCAAACCAGCTATCCTGTAACCTCAAATCTCTAATCTCCACCTCATTCCTTGTCCAGAATCCATAGGCTTTTCCTGTCCTCCCACCCAACATCTCTCCCCCATTTCACTCTACTCCGTAAACTCATCCCCATCTCTACACCCCAGATACGTATAATTGTAAGAGAATAAAATGATACAGTCATCAAATCATCATACCTTTCAAAACTCTTTTTGAAATATTTTTCCCTTGGGATCTTTTTTTTCTTCTTTCCCCTAAAGGCTTGCTGCCATTAAGGCTAGAAGGCAGCCATGGAAGGGGAGGACCAGTTCTAGAACAAAGAAGCCTGTAGGATAAGGAAGAAAAAGCCTGCCTCTTTGCTGCTGCTCGGATCAAAAGGAGAGGAGAAGCCCTTTTAATAGGAGAGGAATTTAGAATAGGATAAAAGGGGCCATCTGGGTCTCTCAGAAACCTCCCTAGAATTCAGGCTGAGGCTGGCGAATCAGGTTGGTTAGTGAGACAGCAAGAATTTCAGATGGGTTGAGAAGGAAACCAAAACTAAAGGGCAAAAGCCCCTCCTACATGGAACTCTTGAGAGAAAACTCCCTTGCAGTGTACCCCTATGACCACATGGGGTACTCAAGCACAGTAGAAATAGAGGACTATTATGCGTTTGCACAAGGAGCTCTGGTGGCGTAGTGCCTAAGGCACTTGACTGCTAACCAGAAGGCTGGCAGTTCAAACCCACGAGCCACTCCTCAGAAGGAAGTTTGGGCAATCTACTTCCGTAGTGATACCGCCTCGGAAACCCAAGGAGGGGTCACTATGAGTCAGGGCTGACTCAACGGCACATAACAACAACAATGTGTTTGCACACAGTTTAAATTACATGCACACCACACACACATAATCCACAAATTTCCTTTGAAATTAATAGAAAATGAGATTTGCCCTAAGAGGGGCACCAGTTGAGAGCTTTTTGACTTACCTTATAGCAGAATCTAAGGTAAACCACTTAGCCAACGACTAGATAGACATCGTGGCATCTCAAAGACACTTCCATACCAGTGAAATCCAAGGTGGGATCAAGTTAGTTAAGGAAGACCAGCTGAGTGCTGAGAAACCAGACCACCACACCAGTTTAACTTTGATCATTCAATAATAGCTATCAAACCAAACCAAACTCATTGCCGTGGAGTCATAGCGATCCCCCTTGGGTTTCTGAGGCAGTATCTCTACGGAAGTAGATTGCCCAATCTTCCTTCTAAGGAGTGGCTGGTGGGTTTGAACTGTGAGCCTTCTGGTGAGCAGTCAAATGCCTTAGACACTATGCCACCAGAGCTCCCCCAATAGTAGCAAGAGAGAAAGAGAGCAAATACCAAAATTCAGATAGCAGGCCAACTACATACACCTCAGCCATGGATCAGACAGTTTGCTGACCTAAGGCTCTTTTCCCCCATAAGAGAACATCTAAACCTCCCCTTGCATCCAGAAGATATCTTGCAAAGATGGAGGTAAAAGAAAACCTTTAGTAAAGCAAACAACTCCAGTAAGTGGTTTGAACACCTTTAGATTACTGTAACTGAATATTTCCCTCAAATGAGATGAGACCATTTAAAACTGGAAAAGACCAACTTAACATTTACCTGGGAAGATTGTGATTTTTGCTGTCCTAAATGGGAATGGTAATCCATACGACAGACTGTAGTCTTTAATCTTCACCAATAAGTGCTTCAAGTTATCCTCACTTTCAGCAAGCAAAGTTTTGTCATCTGCATATCACAGGTTCTTAATGAGGCTTGCTGCAGTCCTGAGGATGACTTTAGAAGCACTTACTGATGATGAAGATTAAAGACTAGAATCTGCAGCATGGATTACACCTCAAGAAAGAAAACAAAAATCCTCAAACTGAACCAATAACAGCATGGGTTTATTGAAGGATCTTATAGTTACTTGTAAATAATTGATTATTGATAGCACTGAAATGGAGAAACGATCAGAAAAGCAGTTGTTAGCAATTTTCCCATTCATTAGTTTTATAATGTCTTGTCTTACTACTGCTCAAAATGAAATTTACTGCTACCCAAACAATAAAATTACAAGTTGTGATTTTTTTTTTTTTAACTTTGCTGCTAAGAGGCTTGTATTTTAAATTTTTTTCTTACAATCTAGGCCAATGGGAAGTTTTCTATCCATTGGTTAGTTCAATTTAAAAATGCTGAATGCCGTAAAAAAAGTTTTTATTGAAAATGTTTTCGGTC